CAAAGCACACTATCAAGAGGAGTTTAAATTTTTTTGCTACCACAGAGGTTTAAAGTTACCATTGATCAGCAATTCCTCCAGATTATCAGGATTCCTGGCGAGCTGCAGGATGAGGGCAGAGCCGCGTACCTTGTCAGGAATGTCCTCATACAGTAACTCAATGTACTCATCCATGTCATTGATATTGGCAACTTCATCAATCTGGAAGCAGCAACAAGCAAGGGTTTAAAGGAGAAAGAGGCATCAATTCAACACAATCAAACACAATGTGATTCTGCAGACAAAAGAGTGCATAGCTTTGAGTTTTCTTGTATTTTATTTTTCCTCTAAAAAAATAAATGCATACAGAATCACTGCCAATAAACACCAGGAAATCTGAGAATACTTAATTATAAGAAACAAAGGATGCTCAGACATGACTCCCTGCCTCCTGTCCGATGTTCCAGACCTCACTCGCTGTCCTGCTGCGCGCTATACTTAGAAGAAGTATGCAAGTCAAATATTTTACCCTTTATGGAGATGATTTTTTATTCCATTGTGTAGCATTTCTAAACCAAGTTCTTTGTTTAAAAAGACAAAGGAAAAACGAGAATTCAGCGTTTTCCTACCCCATTTATATAACCACTTATTTAAGAAAGAAGAGAAACACAAAGGCTTATTACAACACCAGTATTTACCTCCATTCCTTCAAAAGGGGGTGGATCTTTTGGCTTGCTGGATTTCTCTTTCTTTTCTACAAGAGACAGGGCCACAGCTGAAGATACACATGTTCACATATAAAAGCATACTTAGCATTGTCACATTATACATTCTGGCAGACCACAGCCAAAGTCCCCTTACATCCAGCTGACACTTTAAACTAACACACTGACTCCTTTACACTAACAAGCTAAGGGATCTCAGTTTCTGCAGCTAACAGTGCACAGGGAGCAAAATAAATTGTCAGATGCCTTTGACTCCTCAACGCAAATAATCAATTTTAGTTTTAGTTTGCTGGGGAGGCAGAGAGAGATAAATCTCAGTGCAAATCCAGACTGAACATACTTCTACAGGGAGATAGCTTAACTGCTTTGCCACAGTGTCCAAGCAGAATCAAGACCTCATTGAAACACTGAACAGTCCATAAGAAGCATGAGTACTAAGTTTGACTAGCTAAAAATAATACTTGTTAAAACAATAAGCCCACATTAACCTCCACAATTACCAGTTTTTCTTCATGGGGCAGTTTAACCATACACCTTCCCCATTCTCAGCTCTCTGAAGAAGGTTTAAAATCAAAGCAAGTAAGATCTTTACTCAGAGAAACCCCAGACTGCACTCCCTGGTAATACTGAAGCACTGCAACCCTACTTTGTTCCTATATTACTTACCTTTCCCTGCTGAAGCATCTCGGCGATTCTGTAGATAATATAACAGCTGTTCCACCTCTGCAAGTTTGGAGGGGTGGATGAGTTTGCATTCTTCAACTACCTTCCGAGCCAGGGAAGCAATGTCTGTATTTGCATTGAGACTCTTCAGCCGAATGCTGAAACACAATTGGACCGATTTCATATTAATTGCTAGATTTTTACATTTTCAAGCCTTTAATTTAAGCTTACAGAGTCATGAATTTGACAAGGTAGAAGTGATTCAGGTATCTTCAGTGTCCATGCTAAGATTTAGAAAGACAACAAAGCAGTGACTTTCTACAACTCAAATCCAGGTAAGCAAACAGATTTGACAGAGTGGGTTTCTTTCTCAGGAAGGAATCAACAATGATAAATGAAGCTATATGAACAGATCCCTTTTAACTATCTCAGGTACAGCAGCCTATGATGCATATGTAACAAGTTCCAAAATAAACTTCTCGGCATTGCAAAGTAGTTCAGCAAATTAAATAAAATTCCCAAATAAGAAACAGCTAAGGATGTTAACTGCAAAAGGAAATTTTCTAACACCTGTAAATGTATTGTCAGGAGCTTTCTATAGTTACAAGCATACTGCAATAGAGATTCTATGTGCAACAAGGACAGGGGAAAGAAATATCTGTAGAAATTAATATTGGTATGTAGCAAAGTTACGCCGGTTCATCTGAAAACAGAAGAAAGTTTTTGATGCAAGAAAAGTTTGAGAAAGTTTAAGGGCTTCTCTTTCTCTCTTATATTTCCTAAATGCATTCATACAGACAAATTTTTCAAACACTCACTGGAGAGAGCAGTGATTGTGAAAACACAAACAGAAAGGATCCAAACTTATAGTCAAGAAATGACATTATTAGACATTTTCAATTAATTCAGTGTTCTTAAACATAGGAAGCAATCTGAAATGAAAGGCCGTAGTGAAATCACTAGTGGGGTGACTGAAAAAGGGGATCTAAGGAGGCTAAAAGCCAGGGCACAAGGTTGTCAGAAGGTTCAGGAGTACTGCTTGCTCTGACCTTAACCACCACCTGGAGGAACCAGTCACTTCACATTTTTGAGCCTCAAGCTCCCAGTATATAAAATGGAAACTATTGCTTTACAAAACTTCATGCATCTTAAATATACAGATGAAAATCAGCTTACAGCATGTGTTTTAGCTGTAAACTTTCCTAGGCACATCTCAGCTTCCAAAATCTCCATTACTCCGATACAGTTTTTATAAAGTTTAAACTATTATTTTTCTTACAGGTTGTTCACTCTGTAAGAAATTCACAACTCTCTCAGAAAACAGAAAAAGTTACCAGAACTTGCTATGATCTTACATTTTCTGACATTCCTTGCGTTCCCCCAGCATGGGGTCTCCCATCTCCCCAAGAATTGTTGCTTCCACTTCATAGTGGACAATGAGGGCTTTCTCAGACGGATGTACATCTATGTTGCCTCCTTTTACCTTCCTGTAGGAATAAAGACAAAAAACAAATTAATTACTGATTTACTGAAGAGATGAAGACACACATCAGAATATAGATTAATAACAGCCATGTGTCTCCTGTTCTCTTCAGATTAAAGCTCAAGTTTGGGCCTTCTATTATAGCATGGTGTCACATTGCTTTATTTCAGAGAGCTGAATGGCAGCTTAGGGCTAGTCGCACATCCTTGAATATTGCCTCCAGCACACACAGAAAACA